TTTTCCCGCCCCCTTTCCGAAACATAAAAGATGTTGCGGTTGTTGTTTCCTTCTTGCGGCCATTTCGGGGTCTTTTAAAGTTCCCTTGTAGGACGCCAGTCCACTGGACCTACCAGCACCCCTCGAAAGTGGCGACAGTTTCGCAGATCGCAGCCCCCCCCCCCCCCAGGGATGGCGAGGTCCAATCTCAGCTCCCATAGGCCCATAGGACCATGGGACGCCACTCTGCTGGGCCCCCCTGCAGCCCTCGAAAGCGGGCCCTTCTAGGGCTTACTTGGGCGCCAAGAAAGACAAATCAGGGCCCCAGGAGGGCCCTAAGAGTGGCCCAAAGAGACCCCAAGAAGGCCCCCAAAGCGCCCCCTTCCCCTAAGGATTTCTCAGGACCCCTATGGATTCGCACATATCCCAAAGGATTCCTGAAGGAATCCGGAGGAATCCTGATCCTAAGGATCTTAAGGAATCCAAGGACCCGCAGGAATCTTGAAGATCCTAAGGAATCCTAAGGGATCCTAAGACATCATAGGAATTCCTACGACATCGAAGTACTTCTGAAGACGAAATTTACACACATGCTATGATATGCGATGCTGTGCTACGCTATGCTACGCTATGCTATTATATGCTGTGCTTTGCTATGCTAAAGTTCAGCGAAGCTAAGATGACGGCAAGCTAGCTAAGATAAGCTTGAGCTAAGACTAACCTAAGCCCTAAGCTAAGCTAAGATGAAATAGGCTACGCTAAGATGAGATAAGCAAGGCTAGGCTAGGGCGCTAGGGACGTCACTGGGTCACTGGGGGAACCGCGGGGCGGATACTGGGGGAACCGCTCGGGGCGGGCCCCGCTGCCCGGCCCTCTAAGCATACCGAGTAAGAACCCTTGTAGGCAGAGCCTAGGTAGAGAACAAAGACCAATAACCCATGATATAGGTGGGAATGCCACCGCGTACTACGGTTACTACGGTGTCATGGTTAGGGGTTTAGCGGCTAAGCCCTGGGCCCTAGGCCCATCGGGCCAGAGCAGCATAGGATGGCATGGCATAGGCTAGGCTAGGCCCATAGGCTGTAGGCTGTAGGCAATGGCATAGGCTCTTGCATAGGCTACTAAGCTTACTTACTACTTACCATGTGAATGTAGACATAGACTCTACAGCAAAGCTTTTCCAGGGCCTGTGGTTCTGGCAGCCCCCCAAGACTCGGGACTGGGACTGGGGGTGGCAGATTGGCGGTTGCTGGCCGTCACTGGCACTGTTCTCGCCGAGGGCCTGCAACGCTTCTCATTCCTCCTGGGTTCTTGGGCCAGTGGAGCGAAGCCTGGGTGGCGCCGCAGGCCCCCGAGCGCACCTGTGTTGCGCCAGGCCCGCGACGTTGTCTTCAGAGCCGCGTCGTGTTCCTCAGCACTGTTCCTCTTCTAAGACTCTTCTCTTCAGGGTACTCCTCGCTCGCGGCGATCTGGATCCCAGCACTTTTTCTTTGTTTCGCCTTTCCCTGTTGCCCCTTTACTTTTCTGCCACTGCCACTCTCTTCCGCTGCAGTTTATGATTCGAGAGTATCTTCCAAGGATTCCAAGGCCCTGAGTGCATCCCCAGGGAGCCCCAGACTCGTTGTCAGGAGCTGCAAAGACCTCGGCGGAGCAATGCCCGGGTTCGACGTGAGCGACGACGACGCCATCGAGCGTGAGTCGCCGCAGCAGAAGCCAGATGGGCCCCAGTCAGCCAGCCCCAGACGCAGCCCCAGCAGAGACAGGGTCAGCCCCAGCAGCCAGCCCAGCCCGCCGCCCCCGCCGCTGGCGGGCTCGCTCGGGCCTGCACTTTCTGGGCCAGCTGCCAAGATGCGCCGGACAGGCAGCCCGCCCACGCGCGGGGCGCAGTCAGCCGCATCTGCAAGGACAGACGCGCATGTTGCAGCAGCACGCCCGCAGCCCACGAGCTTCGGCGCTATCGGGATTTCTGGCGTTGAGTGGTGGCGTGACCGCCTGCAGCGAGCTTTGGATTCCGCTGGAGTCCTGGACCGCCTGGAGACCAAGAAGTGCAGCCTGCCGCTGTTGCTCGAGGAGGTCTGCGCGGGCACGTCGCCCATCCACGTCGGCATGGGGGCCAGTTGGGCCAGTTGCAACGCCGATTGCATTTTGTTGTTGGGTTTTTGTTCTCTCTCTCTCTCTATACTCTCTCTATATATATATATATATCACTATCTTTCTTTATGTCTCTCTCTCTCTCTCTGTGTCCCAGGGTCCCAGAATCTCAATCGATCGCTCTCCATTTCTCTCTGGTTTGACTCTTGTGATGCTGTCTTCCTGGAAAGACTCTCCCTCTGTCTGTCTACTCTCTCTATTTCTCCCTCTCTCTATCCTCTATCTCTCCCTCGCTCTCCTTCTCCCCCCCTCTCTCCCTTCCCTCTCCGATGGGCCAGGGGCAGGGCCGAGGGCTCCAAGAGAGCCTGGGGCCTAGGTCCCTAGGATTCGGATGGGGATCGAATGGGCTCTTAGTCTCTATAATCGCGTTTACTCTTTCTTCCCGGTCTCAGCGAGAGCTCTGGCGCGTTGACGGTGCATCTGTTCGCGGGAATCTGAGAAGTTTCTACGTGTCGATCTGGCGCGTGATTTGATTCTCTGCCAGTCGAGTGCAGACATGAGTGCGCGCCCCATTCCGACGAGTCACCGCTGCACATCCTCGCCCTCCGTCTGATTCTGAGGAGAGAGTAGAGTAGAGTAGAGCCCACTACTGTGAGGCGGGTGACAGGGCAGGGGTCGATGGGGGGCGTCAGATTGCGTCGCCGGCCCCCTCCCACAGGCGTTCGGCATGTCCGCGGAGACCCTGGGGGTCGCCGACCCGAAGAAATCAGCCCAGAAGTTCCTGTGCCACAACTTCAGCCAGAAGATCCAGCACGTGTACGAGAATAACGAGACGTTCATCGGTGGACGTGGCCATTGCGTCAAGTGCAATAAGGTCCATGACATTGACTCGCGCGTGCCGACAATCATGTTGGGAGGGTACCCGTGCCAGCCGTTCACACTTCAGAGGAGCCACTCGGGCGTGTCGGCGCGCACCGCGCCCAATCCGGCAGGCCACCCATTGTACAGTGTCTTGATGGAGGGGCTGCCGAAGTACCTCCAAAGTAGGAAGCCCCGGTCCTTCGTGGTTGAGAATGTTGAGGCTCTCTTGAATCGCAACGCCAAGACAGGCACATCGCCGTGCGAGGAGCTAGTCGAGGCGGCTCAAACTTTGAAGTACTCGGTGCGGGTCGTCAAGCTCGACCATGCCGCTTTCGTGCACCAGAGCCGCCTTCGCGTCTGGATGATAGGTTTCAGCAGTGACTGCGGGATCGCCGGGGACAAGGCGGCCGATTGGGTCGCCAAGACTCTGGGCCAGGTGAATAGTTTTCTCAGGGACCACTCCACCCCGCAGAACCCGCTCGACATCGTGAATTTCGATTCGTTCGAGGAAATCTACCGCCGGGAGCGCGTCCAGGACAGCCGCGACCCCGTTTGTTTGTATTGCATTGTGTATTTGTGATATGTGCTCTTTGGTTATGATGCCGTTCCCTGTCGCTGTGCCGTCCGTCGATATGCTACGCTGTGCTCTGCGCTCTGTCATGCCAGGTATGCGCGTATGCAAGTCGGCCCTTCAGTTGATCTGTTCAATGGTATGTCTGCGAGACTAGTGACTTAGTGCGCGATGTCTGTGCCGTGCTACGCAATGCTGCTGGTAATGCGATGCTTCAAGCAATCGTTGACTTTGACGCTTGGCTGGCGTTTCGGATCATCGCGTCCACGCCAGCCGCCAGCCCATCCACGAGCGACGCCCAGACGAGTTGCGGCGAGGGGGCAGAACAGAGAGGGCGCCGAAGCGCAAAGCGTCAGGAGGAGGAGGAGGAGGGATTGCTTGCATGGGTAAAAGGAGAAGGGGAAATGATGATGATTCGCGGTGGGGGGGGAGGAGAAGAAGGAGGGAGGGGGCGGTGAGAATGAGCAGGGGTAGCAATGGAGGGTCGAGGAGGAAGATGGCGAGCAAATTGACCAACTGCCTCTTGGATGCGTCTCAGAGATATTGGGGGTATTTCTCTTGGAAACTTATTGGATGCCTCTTGGGGCGTCTCATGGGTTTCATTTGACTCTTGGTTTGGCGGTCCTGGGGGCTTTTGGGCCTTCTCAGGTGCCTGGGGTATATGTGGCCGCTTAGGAAGCCGCTTAGGGTCCTTTTGGATTCCTCTCTCTTGGGGCCATCCCCAGGGCCTCTTCGGGGCCTCTCTGAGCTTGGGATTATTCGAGGGGCCTCTTTGGGTCTTTGGGCCATCCTGTAGGCCTCGGATTCCCGGAAGTCTTGTTCGGAGCAATCTTCTGCCGAAATCTTGACGGCGTCGATCATCAGCAGATTGAGTTTCCCCATGCGCCGGGCGTTGTGCCTCGGGGGCCTCTGACATCTGCTCTCGCGGCGCTCCTGGGCCAATGGAGCTCTGTAGGGCCCCTCTTTGGGGCCTCTGGAGCTCTGGAGGCATCGGGGGGCCATCGGACTCGAGCGGGCGACGATGCAGGCGCCCTCAAAAAATGTAGTCAGTTTAAGGATGCTGGTTGTTTGGGGGCCCCCTTGCAGTTTTCGCAGACCTTTGGGGGACATGTGGCCTCTGGCCCCCCGGGGGCATCTTGGGGGCCATCTTGAATATTGCGTCACTCTTGGAATCTAGCGCTACCTTCAACTTGAGCCATATTTGAGGCACTCTTGCAACCATATTGGGCCATATTGGGCGCACCATTTGCCCCCCCGCGAGCCCCCCCCCCCCCCCCCGTCTTGCATTTTGGTCCAGGGAGTCCAGGACACAGGCGCAGGGGGTGGGGCCTGGGGGCACTGGGGGGGGCCCGTTACCGCAGGGAGGAATGGGGCTGGAAGAAGGAAGCCCCGCCCAGGCCCCACCGCCAACGCAGGGGGGGCTGGAGGGCTTCGCAGCAGTATCCGTCCGTTTCCATTTGGTGGTTCAAGCAAGCACTTCTCAGGATTCTCACGGCCCGCGTTTTCCTTGGGCCATCAGTTGCGACCTGCACCTCCTCACGCGCGCAGCCGCCGCGCACATCATGCCGAACGGCGTTGCACCTGATTCGCTCGATAATGAGGGGCCACAGCCACAGCGCATCATGACAAGCCGCATGCAAGTTGTGAGGGTGGATCTAAAGGAGCTCGGCAGCTCATTCAACAAGAGCGTGATCATCGACGTCCCGGTGAGGATCGAGATACGCGGGGTTGGGCCTGACACTTCCGCAGAGCGGAGGCAGTTGTACAGAGCGTTGCTTTCGGGCGGCGCTGGAGGCGGCGGAGGCGGCGAGGGACGCGGCGGCGGAGGCGGTGGCGGAGCAGCCAGGCAGCCAGGGGCAGCCAGGAACAGCCAAGAGCAGCCAGAGGATCGACCAGGAGCAGCCAGGAAAAGCCAGAGGCCAGAGGATCGGCCATGCAAGCAGGCGAAGCTGGAGAAATCGGATCAGGACCTGCAGGATCAAGTGCAGGTGGTCCCTTCGTCGCCTGAGCATCCTGAGCAGGAGGCGGCAGGATGTGGCGTGGGAGCTCCAGCTGCTGGCAGCGGCGCGGGCCCGCCAGGCTCGTCACCACCGCAACCGCAGTCGACGGCGGGAGTTCAGCTTTGTGGTGCAGGGGCTCAGCCTGCTGATGACGGTCACCGCACAGTGGTCGACAGGAAGAAGGTTCCTCGCGCGGACCTGGACCTAGGAACTCAGCCTGCGTCTGCTCATGGCGCCAAGGCTGCTGAGGCTGAGGCTGAGGCGGGAACTCAGTCAGCCGTGCTGCGTCAGCCTCCAGATAAGGTCGCAACTCAGTTTGCTGGCGCTGTCAGCTTTTCGCACGTGGCCAAGAGCATGGGCATCGTCTTGGCGGGCGTCGGGACACGCGGGAATTGCATCGACATCGAGGTCCCCCAGGACACGCAGGAGGAATATTAGCCGCTAGTAGTTCCCAGTTCCACATTCAGCGCTTGTGAGGCACTCAGCACACTCAGCCACAGCCAGTGCACAGAGTAGGTGGGCCACCATGTACCAGGTAGGCCCTGCCACAGAGCCACAGAGTAGGCCGATCGGGCCGAGCAGCCGAGCAGCGCTTCGCTAGCCGCTACGCGCGCAGCAAGCGGCTTCTAGGCCCTGAGGCCCTAGGGCCCTAGGGCCCTATCCATGTTTTCATGTGCATTCGCGTCTCAGTTCTAACTTTAGGGTGTGGGTCATTGTTGGGTTGGGCTCGTAAGTCGCTCTGTGGGTAACGTCACGTCATTGATACCGCAGTGTTCTGCACGAGTGACCTCTCAGCGAACAGCCGAAAGGGAAAGAACCAACCATGCACATTCCTGTGTCTTCACCACCTCGCCGACCGTTTTGCTGCGTTCTGTTACACTGTGACTCCTCGTGTTTCCTTCCGTTCCTACCATCCCCTCGCATCTCCTTGTCACTTGAACCCTTGTCACTCTTCTCTCGGCTCCTCAGCTGCTTAAGCCGTCTTAAGCCGCGCGCTGAAAGCACGGCCCCAGGGCCCCAGGGCGACGATCCGAGCAACGTTGGCCAGGGTCGCAGAGCAGTTCAGAGCAGAACAGCTGAACAGAGAGAGAGAGAGAGAGAAACACAACAAGAAAGTGAGAGAGAGAGAGAGAGGGAAGCGATCCGAGAGAGAGAGAGAGAAGAGTGAGAAGAGAGATAATGAGAAACAGGCATCGTCACCCATCTTGTGGCAGGTTGTTTGCACAATAGTCGTCGTCATCATCACGACTCAGGAAACGTTTCATGTCGGCGTCGGGCGTAGGGCGACGGCGTAGGATCGGGCTATGCTAGCTGTTACGTGTGCTATGCCATGCCTGCCATGCTAAGACGTGCTTTGTCGTGCAAGGCAGGCTCGCGCATGCAAGCTGTGCCTTTTTCCCAGAAAGGGCGCAGGCCCAGGGTTCTCTTTTAGTTTTTAGACTTGTCCCTGGTGCCTCAACTGAGGTGGGCCGGCGGATTCTTTCCTTTAAATATCGAGGTCGAGGTGGGCCGGCGGGTTCACATTTGAGGATGTTTCAGGCGAAATGCTTGTTTTTGAAATACCGATTGATAAATCACAGGGCGCGGGCCACCTCAGCACGACCACACCCCAGCACAGCGCGACCACGCCCGAGCATGACCACGCCCCAGCACGACCACGCCCCAGCACGACCACACCCCATCACGACTACGCCCCAGCACGACCACGCCCCAGCACGACCACACCCCAGCACGACCACACCCCAGCATGACCACACCCCAGCACGAACCGATCGATAAATCACAGGGCGCGGACCACCCTAGCAGCTAGCAAGACCACGCCCCAGCACGACTCCACCCCCCACCCCAGCACGACCCCACCCCAGCACTACCACGCCCCAGCACGACCACACCCCAGCCCCAGCACGACCGCACCCCAGCACGACCACACCCCAGCACGACCACACCCCAGCACGACCCCACCCTAGCACCTAGCAGCCCTAGGCCCTAGCACGACACGACCCACACCCCAGCACGACCACCCCAGACCCCACCCAAGCACGACTACACCCCAGCACGACCGCACCCCAGCACGACCCCACCCCAGCACGACCCCACCCCAGCAAGACCGTCTTACAAGGACCACACCCCAGCACCACACCACAGCACGACCAACCCCCAGCACGACCACGCACGACCACGCCCCAGCACGACCACGCCCCAGCACGACCACCCCCACACCCCCCCCAGCACGACCACCCCCCAGCACGACCACCCCCCAGCACGACCACCCCCCAGCACGACCACTCCCCAGCACGACCGCACCCCAGCACGACCACACCCCAGCGCCCCAGCACGACTACACCCAGTCGCACCCCCGTGGATGGGGTGCCTGGTTGAGTTGTTGCCTGTTCGTGGGGTGTCACGTGGGATGTTTCACGGGGTGTCTCGTGGAATGTTTCGCGAGGTGTCTCGTGGGATGGTTCGCAGGGTGCCCCGTGGGATGTTTCGAGAAGTGTTGCCCAGTTGGGTATCGTGAAAACGTGACCATGCTGCGCATGCCGCATGTCTATATCCTTTTCCGGGTTCGTGGGTCCATCATGTTTCATACCAGGTATGCCATGTCATGATAATGCTATCTGCTATGTCATTGCGTGCTGGTTAGACTGAATGTTTGCTCCACGTTCACGTCGGTCAGACTGCGATGATGAAGGCAGCTCGTCCCGGTGGCTGGTGCTCATCTCAGCTCCATGGCACCATGGCAATGACGTCGTGGCCATGGTATTTCGTTCTTCGCTCTTTCGCTTCGGGTATTATTCCTCATCTGCTTGGTTTTCCATCCCCACTACTCCTCACCCGCCTCCGCACTCTGCCCCTCGTTCGCCCTCTATCCGCGCCTTGCCCCCATTCTAGTTTCAAGTTCTGGCAGCTAGCACCGCACCCCCTCCTTCTGCAATTGCTTCTGCATCCTTTCTTCCTTCCTCCTCCTCTTCCCCCCATCCTCCTCGTCTCCATTCTCTTTCCCTTCCACCTTTTCTTCCCCCCCTCGCCCCCCCCCCCCCGCCCCCCTCTGTCATCCCCTCCTTCCTCCCCCCCGCCCCCCCGAGGCCGTTGCCTTTTCCGGGCCTTCGAGCCTTCGAGGCTCAGGCTCGGCTCAAGAACCTTCGAGGCTCGCGAGCCTCCAATGCCCGCGGGCATTTCCGAACACTTGACGCGCGGCTCAAGGTGCAGCCCCAGACTTTGGCTCAGGCGGCTTCGGCCCGTTAGGCTCGAGCACTTCGCGCTTCAAGTTTCGCAGCTCGAGGTTCAGGGTTGGTTGGGGTCAACGGTTGGAGTCGCCGCGGCCGCCGTGGCCGCCGCGGCCATGGGCCATGGGCGGAAGGGCCAATCCTCGCGGTCGCGCGCGGCCCCCATAAGGTGGGGCGGTGGTGGTGGAGAGTCGAGAGGGGGGTGCGAGGGGGAGGGGTGGGGCGGGGCCGGGGGCGGGCGCTGCGGCGGTGGGCGAGCGCGGCGGCGGTGGCGGGCGAAGGGGAGGGGGCGGGGGGGGAACGGGCGGGGGAAGGGCGAAGTGCGAAGGAGATATAGGTGTGTGTGTGGGGTGCGGGGGCAACCAGCAAGTTGCAATGAAATCCGACAGCCCGTGCCGGCGAATTGTCGATGCGCGTTCATTGGGCCCTGGCCTCATTCCCCCCTCCGGGGCACCGTTTGCCGACAGTCGACAGGAGGCGAATTGACTCAGCGAAACGCAAGGATGGGGAGGGGGGGGAGAGAATGAGGGAAGAGGGAGAGGGCGAGGAGGGGGCAGCGGACCTTGGTGGCGGAGGGCGTGCAGGGGGGGGGGGGGGCATGTGAGACCGCGCCTCCATGGCGCCAGCATTGAAAGGAAAGGAGACCCCGCGTCCGAGGCCGGGAACATGACCAAGGAACCAAGGAAGCTGGCAGATGGCGACAGCGCCGCAGGAATGGAAACCCTTGCGGTTGCAGGCGGTGCGGTCGGTTGCGCCCAATGATTGGCCCAGTTCACTGCTGGTGGCCGCTGCCTGGTAGCCGGGTAGCCCTTGCGAGCGCAGGCGGTCGCTCGCCCTTGGTTTGGCCTGGCCTGGCCGCGGGCCCAGGCCGCCAGCCCGAGGCCCAAGGCCCAACGCCTTCGGCTTTTTGGTCATCTCACCAGAGGGCGGCGCGCTCCCGCTCCCGCGATCACCGCGGGCCGCGAGCACGAGCGACGAGCGGCCCCCGACAGGTTGCCGCCGTCGTGGGGCCAGCGCTGCCACATTGCCAACGTGGTCACATTGCAGTTGCAGTGCCGCCGCCAGCAGCGCCACCACAGCGCCCCGCCATTGCCGCCCCCCCTTCGGTCATTTATCTGGCGCGATCAGGGGGCCGCGCGCGGCATGCAGGCATGTTGCGCCTGGGCCTGCGCGCAGTTTGCACACCGGTGCAGCGCCTGATTTTGTAATTGTTGTCAATATGTCTGCCCTCGTCTGGACATGTGCGCCGCGCCGCGCCTTGGAGGGCCAGGGCCGAGACGGACGCGCTCTGTTTGTTTTGTGCAAGCCTTGGGACTGAGCGACTGAGCCCCCAGCCTGCAGACCTTCTGGCTGGCCCGATCCATTGCCGTCCATGGGCATTGGGCCATGGGGCCATGGGGGCATGGCATGGGATGGGCACTTGGCAATTGAATTGGCCATGGCGCCGCGACCGTGCCCGTCGGGCCGTCGGCCAGCGGTTCGTTGCAATCATCGGTTTCGGTTCCATTTGGCAGACCAGAGGCTGTAGTAATTGTAGTTAGTAAGTAAGTGCTAGGTAGCCCTTGCGCCTTGCGCCCTTGCGGCCCGGGGCCCAGCGCCCCAACGCATGTGACTTTAGCCGAACTTTAGCCTAACTTTAGCCCTCGGGCAGGGGCCGGGGCCGAGGCCGATCTGCTTTTTTGATTATCCTTGTCGCGCCGCCCGTTGGCGTCGACGTCGCGCGCGCTGGGGGCGACGGGCCCGAGGCCCCCCACGGCGTCGGGCATCGGGCGGGCCCCGGGCCCGGCCAACAGGCGGGAGGCCAGAGCGCAGCCAACAGGCGCGGAGCCTCCAACTCGGGAGCCAGAGCACGGCCAACAGGCGCGGGGCCTCCAGCCGAGGAGCCCGACGACCAGACGACGACGACGATGTCCCGCGCCAAGGCCGCCCAGGCAACGCCCGCAGAGGTTGCAGAGCCGCCCCCGGGAGGGGAGCCGGGGAGCAGATCGGGAAGCACGCGGCGAGGGTGCGCCCGGGGCGGGCGGGTATTTTTTCAGTTTCGGCGTTTTTGTATTTTTGCAAAAAATAAAAAAAAAAAAAACGAAACGCAAAAACTATTAAAATAGTAAAAAAATAGTTTTTCCCACATGATTTTTCTATTTTTTTATAATTATATAAGAAAAATACATCTCCCCGGGAGAACACCTATTTTTCCAGTTCGCGCAAAGAGGGTGGCCGGAGGGATTACCTACTTTTCGGAGACCTGTCAGGATCTAGTTCCCCTTGTTCTCGGCCGTTCGGCTGGCGGCCCTCGGCGCTGAAGACGTCAGTGCTGGGGTGCCAGTTGGCTTGACGGGCCCAGGCCGCGCGCTGCGGCGACGTTCTGCGCGAGGCTGGAGGGCGCCGGCCCCGGCGCAGCCCCGGCGAACGCCAAGCCGAGCGCAGTCGGACTCGTCGACGTCGAGCGCGGTCATGTCTTGCACCCAGAGCTTCTGGGCGGGGCATGGGCAGGCCCGGGCGTTGGCCCGGGCCATCGCTGGCGCCATGCTGGTTTATTCCAAGTCCAAGTCGCGCTCGGGCCGATCGGGAGATCCAGCAA